CTGACCTTAAGGTTCGCAGCCCAATTCGTAACCACTACGCTACCAGAGCTCCTTTAAGTCCTCTTAAAACTCATAGTGACCCTGTGTAGGGTTTCCAAGGCTTTTAAATCTTTGTGGGAGCAGAATAGTATGGTTAAAATGTTTTAAAATATCTGAAAGCATTTCTTTAATTCTTCTTATGCATAGAAAGGTACACTCTATGCTATACATGGGAGCTTCAAAAAGTTCATGGAAAGAAATCCATTATCTTTTCATTCCATTTTTCCACGAACACTTTGATGTCCCCTTATATATCCTGAAATTTAACTAAAACTGATATTAGATACGAACTGTACCTAAATTTTCTGATTTACTCACAAATTCGACTTATAGACAGATTTAGAAATGGAACTCGTTTGTAATCTGGGGGCTTCTGTATACCCATTGCTGGAGAGAAAATCATAGAACTATTACACACACTTCTTATAACATTACAAATGAGTACAGCCTGTTTGGAAAGCAATTCAGCAATACATTGTAAGAGCCCTTAAAACATTTATGCTCATTTTACCCAGCAATATCACTCTGAGAAATTTATCTTAATGAAGAAATAACTTCAAAGAAAAATCAGCGTACATGAAAACATTAATTTATAATAATGAAAAATTCAAAATAGCACAAATACCTTATAATAGAATAATGGTTGCTGTTGTGAAGTGCGTGGAGTTGGTTCCAACCCATAGCAACACTGTACAGGGTTTCCTGCGGAATCACTGGTGGTTTTGAACTGCTGACCTTGAGGTTAACAGCCCAACTTGTAACCGCTACGCTACCAGACAGAGGTCCTTAGTTACAGTCCCTCAATGCAGTATAATGGAGTTATGAGAAAAAATTAATTAGAAGACTATAGCAGAAGTGGGAAATGTTTATAGGGTCATCTTAAGCAGAAACAAAACAACAACATTTTTAAAAAACCAGACTTCACGTTGTATTTTTTTTTTTTTTTTCAACTATAACCATGTAATAATGAGCTCTGGTAGCGTAGTGGTTACGACTCGGGCTGTGAACCTTAAGGTCAGCGGTTCGAAACTACCAGCTGCTCTGTGGCAAAAAGAT